GCCTGCCAGCTTTAGCGTCCCGCTCAGTGCCTATTTGTAGTCCGATCGCTTCTACGTCCTCAGCGGGAAGCGACAGTGAGCCGATTAGGCACGAAGCTTTTGGTGGGTTGGCGGTGACTTTGTGCCTGCAGGCTGAAAACCTCCATTGTCTGTATAGTTCTTGATATGCTTACACTGCAACATATAACTATCGAATTATCAATTATAACGATGATAATTAGCAATGAAGAACGTAATAACTACATGGAGACATAGAAATGGAACGAACGAAAGAAATGCTAGGGCAAACTTCGATCAAATATCAAATCTCTACTTATATAAAGCAGAAAATCCGTGTGTTTGTGTGTCTGCGCACATTTTCTTTACAGGGCTCGGCACGACGTGGCTAGCTGGAAAATGCAAAAATACAAAGTCCATCTTGACTTTTGCAAAATTTTGCGAAGTCTACTTTGACCCTAGACCCTCCTAAAAAACCTGCAAAAATGAAACGTCGACTAAAAAAACTTTGCAATTTTTGTGTCTTTTCGGTCTCAAAAACAAAACCCCCCTTTGCTTTTTGTCCCAAAAACGATATCCAGCTTGCTTACAAGCCACCTGTGCCAAGCCGTGTTCCTGTAGCCATGAAGGATGAGCGGTGAAGCTTATTTTGATGGTAAGAAGTAGGAAGCGAACTCAAGACGAGTGAGAATCGTAAGAAGGGTAAATTTCTCTTCATGAGAGATCAAGCACGATGGACTGTATACTTGGGTCCAAATCGAATAGGAAATTCGATCATTCGAATAAAACATTCAAATACATTCGCATTCGAAATTCGATATATAGTTGAGAAAACGGGTTTTCGAATAAAATTCGAAAACTCAATTAATCGAAAACGGGATTTCAAATAGCTGCTATTCGAAGGTTTTATTCGAATGTTTATTCGAACACCTATTCTAGTGAACTCCGTTTTCAGATTATTCAAGTTTCTGGCTGTACCAAATGCTGTGTATCAGGCTCACTTCGTCTGCGTTTTTCCGCAAAATTATACATCTTTTTGCAACCATGATGACCTTTGAACTGTATGAGATTCGCATTCCTCCAATTGCTTGCGACAGTAAAAAATTATATGTGGGTTTGATTTATGCTTTCTTGATCAATGAGATTTTGCACTGCTAATGGCACAAAATCAGCAAAAAAAGCTATCAAATTCAATCTCATGTTTCGAATCCATATACTAGAAGTGTGTTGATATGCCTGTTTCTCTTCCTTTGCATTGCTCATGCTTTTGGTACGCAAAGGTCCACAATGGTGAGCACTCTTGCTTGCAAGACTCATATTGCACAACTGCCTCTATTCTTTATCTTAAAGATTTTTTGCGAATTAATTTACTTTTTAACTTACTTCATCGATTTTATCGAGTTTTGGAGCTTTGAGTTACGAGGTTGGGAGTTGGTACAGGGAGGTAAATGAGGGTGCTGATCAAAACTGAAATCTATTTTATCAATTTCGGCGATTTTTGGAAAATCTTGAGCTAGGAGTTGGTATAGGGGATATGAGGATGGAGATTATGAATGGATCGGCTTTAGCTGGATATGTCAGCAAGTTTGAGATATGATTGTTGTAGTTATTCAGTAACTCATTCGAATATTTATTCGAAATTCGACTTCCAATTTTCGTATATTCGATATTCATTCTTTCGATATTTTTAATCTTCCGATTTTATTCGGAATTCATTCATTCGAGAATTTTTGGATTTCGAATTTATTCGATAACCTTTTATTCGAAATTTTATTTCCGAAATTCGATATTCGTCTGTTCGAAATTTTTCCTTTTCGAATTTCGATATTCATTTATTCGATGAGAATTTTGAATTTACCGAAGTGTAATGGAGTGGCCCAGAATGGGGTGGAACCTAAAATGCCCAGCTCGTATGCAGTAAGATAGGTATGCGAATGAGAATAAGTGTACATGCTATATGCACCGGTAGACTTCAAATCAAGAGAAGGTATCAATGCAGTGATCACGCAAGATAGATGAGCACCAGCAAGGTTGTAATTCTTGCCTTTCGCAGAGGCATTTTTCCTTGATTCGTTGCTTTAGGATTCGTATGAGTGTCTCTCTGCGTCGATATTCTCAGATCTGTCCAATTTCACTCAGAGAAGATTGGGGAAGGCGCGCACTCGGAGAGGATTGAGATGTAAATGAGCCTATCTCTGCAATGTAAGAAACTGTGCTATAACTATGTAGGGTAGTCCTCATATTCCTCAAGTAAGTCATTGGTTAATAAGGAGGCTACCGAAAAAATGCAGCACTGATTCAACACTGTGGTCCAGATGTCCAACATAAGACTGGCACTGTGACTGAGGCACCGCATGGCGAGGTTACTAGAAATGAAATGACGTCTACTGTATAAGGAATAGCGGATGAGATTACAAAAAGGACTGTATGCACTTAGATGAAAATATACCGGGAATCAGATCAATCATGAGAAGAAGAGTGAGATAGATATCGTAGAATCACGAAAATGTAAAACCACTCAAATGTACAACTTTAGGAAAAAGTTTTAGTAATTTCACCAAAAACGCTCTTCAAACTGACTTCAAAGATTTGAAGTGAAAACAATGATGAAGCACGATGACTAATCATTTTACTAGCATGCAAAAGCTATCCATTGAGCGTTGACTGAAAAAGACCGAGAGCTCATTTTATGAGTAGAATAAGTGATGTAATAATTGCGTATCCATGTAAATTGCATTAAATTACATAAAAAATTGCTTTAAGCTGGAGGCTGAGCAAATTGATCGCGATTGAAAATTGTCATGAGTTTGATGATCAATAGATTAATCTATTATTTTAGTTCGATATCCTTTATCATGCATGACATGCAAACTAGCCACCGGAGCTTCTCCAAAATTTTGCGCCTGTATTGAGCAATTGAGCGTTTCGCCACCTTTGCTGACCACAAAATCTCGTTCCCCTGTGCGTAGATTATTATGACTTTCATCCAGATGTGCACGGAACACCTTTATGACTATTACAATAACATCTAAAACGTCCGCGTACAAATTTACTTCTAGCCTTCTTTACACCTGTGTCTTCGTATCTATATTTTCTCTTAGGCACACCAAACTCAGACAATCGCCGGGGGCAGGCGGGCGCCGAAAAATAGGCGTTGCTAACAATTCGCATTCCACTCGCACTTTCCAGGAAAATGTTCAGCGAGTTTTTGAGAGGCCACCTGTTTAACCTTATTTCGCTCTTATTTTTCGCAGATATATTGCTGAATCTCTGAGGAATCGAGAACTCAACAAGCGGCGTCCCGAAAAGTCCTGATGGCTTTACAAAAAATCCGCGAGCAGGGTGCGAGAAATCAGCCGGTATTTCCGGTGCCCGCCTGCGCGGCGACTGTCTAAGAAATGTGCCATCCATCTAAAAAAATCGTTTCACAAATCGCAAACGTCAAAAAATTGCAAACGCATGCATGCGAACACACGAAAAAGATTCGCAAAAAGTACATTTAGCTCGAAACCCCTCTAATTACAAATTTGGTTTCAAATAGCCAGTAAGGAGAGTAATTGCAAACTAAAAGTACATACTGTACTTTTAGTTTTAGTTTTACTTTTCTACTTTTAGTACTTTTAGTACCAAAAGTATGAAAAGGGCTGTTCAACTTTATATCTTGATATAGATTCAAAACAAGAATTTCGGAGGTTAAATCCCGCGAAAATGCAGTAACTAATCGCAATTTCGCGAATGATTCAATCTACTTTCTACCAAAAGCCGTCAAACTTAACAAGTGGTAACTTCTGAATATTAAGATAGAGCATTTCGTCTGCTATTTTTGAAAATTCGCATAGCTCTAATTGGGCTGTTGTATTGGTGACCTTTGGAAAAATTACGCCTTTTGGGAGTCTCCCTCATCTCTGTGCTGTTTGGTTCCATTCCGTATTGAGAGCTCCAGGTATGGCATGAGTGTGAGATGGTGTGTTCCCGAAATTAAACGTGAGAGTACCGGAAATTGATGTCGCAAAAACAGCATATTGACCATACAATCGAGTAGGTTTTTTCGCTGAACTATGCAGCTGCGTACTTTTCAGGATGGTCGGCCATATCCAGATACAATTTGCATTTTTTCTCACTGTTCTTACTTTTTGTTACCTAATGGCGCTTGAATTAGCGCAAATGATCACGAGTGAAGTACAGGCTGTATCTGCCAGCATCCGTCCCGCGCCATTATGCCTTGCGACGGCGCATCGTCGCATGCATACCGCATGACCGCACGACCGTCGCTGCCGCAGCCGCGACGTCGCATGACCGATGCTGGTTGGTACACCTATATCTACCTGCAGGCCGTTTTTCGTCATTAGCATTTTAGAGATTGTGAAGCTGCACACGTCAGCAAAGAAACCTACTTGACTGCAGCTGATAGAGCATATTCAACTTCTGTGCAGGAACTGACATTTTACTGTAACTCGAATCTTCTGACTGCAAGGTATCCACCTGCATGTTTCATTGTCTTTTTGTCTCAAGTACTTTTTAATGTCTTTCGCAATTTTTTAAAATCAAAACATATCGCTCATGGGCACCATGGACAATCACGAAGCTGCACACATTAGCATAGAAACCTACACGATTGTAGCTGTGTATAAAGCTATTCAGCTGTTAAGTGGAGATTGACATTTTATTATAATTTAATTCAGATCTTCTATCTGCAAGGTATCTAGCTGCATGTCTCATTCGCATTTATCAAGATTTCACAAACACTTTTGAATGTCTTCTGCAAATTTTTTAAAAAAGTTCTATCCTGCTCACGGGCACTAATCTACAAGTATATTCAATCGTTATTGTGAGACTATTGCGCCCTTCGAAACCGACATCCCTACATATCTTATCCTCTAACTTTATCAACAAAAACAATAATCAACACAGATATTTATTCAATATCCCAGTGCATAACAACTTATGAGATGCTTCTGATGTGAGAAGCAAATCTGCGATAAGATAGCAATTTGACAGGGCCTTTAGCATCTAGCACCGCCGGTGCATCTCCGACGGCATTTTTCCCGATATTTGAATGTGCAGTGACGTGAGTTTATGTGGCGGCAATTCTGAATAGTTACATCTGTAGAAACGCCACGAGAACACGCATTTTGAAACTGTTATTATTGCATTACTGATTGATGAAAATGAAACCTTGGTTAGGAAATTTACTCAAGAATCTAGGAATTTCTTACTTATGTTGCAAATAAAGATGCAACTTACCTTGAGAATCTGATTCTCGCAGTTTTTTCTACATTGTGAAAGACTATGACCACATCTTGCTATCTTGCTCGGGCTGACTCCAAGGATGGAAATGAGCAGGAGACTGATTAGCAGAAAGTTCATTATTCAAATTGTTTCAGCTTGGAGCGCTGAAAAAGTGCTTGCGCTGACATGTACACACCTCTCTTATAAAATGTAAATTTTGTGCTCAGACAACAAGATGTTCTGCAATTTTCCGTATTGTCTTACGCATGAGGTCTTTGGTGCCTAGTACGTATACGACAGTTTTTACGAATGAGCAAGAAGACTTCAAACAGGCTGTATAAAAAGTAAAAAATCTCCATTATAACGACCATGCGGCTTTTGCATCACATTGAAACAACAACAAAAGGAAGAATGATTTAGATTTGGTTGTGCTGTAGCACGATAAACATCTTGAACATTGTTTCTTGAGTAAAATGGATCATCGTATTGCGAGAAAAAATGTAAATTATTTAGCAGATTTGAGAAGCATTTCTCGTTTCAGTGCATTATAGATCTATTTGTTTTGAATTTGCGACTATGTAAGCAGACGAAGGAGAGTAAGTAACCCTTTATTGGCATTTTGAGTACTTGATTATCAGTTTTGATACGTCATCGGTGTCATTACTTTTTCGTATTCACACATATCTTCAAGAATGACGAAGGATGTAACATGTACATTAAAGCTTTTTCAGTGTTTGCTTCCTTAAACTGTTGTAACGATGTGTGTTTTTTAGTTTTGCTTCGGACCTTTCCTAAGCTTTTCGTGCGCAAAGTAAACAATATCATGTTCTCGTAACACTGCGCAGTCATCAGGCCATATTCTCAGAGAATCGCGGGGGGCAGGCGGGCACCGGAAAATAGATTGCTGATCTCTTGCACCCCGCTCGCGGATTTTTTGGAAAGTAATCAGGACTTTTCGAAAGACCGCTTGCTGAGTTCTCGATTCCTCAGAGATTCAGCAATATATCTGCAAAAGATAAGAGCGAAAAAAATTTAACAGGTGGCCTCTCAAAAATCCGCTGACTCAGCGAGCGGTCTTCCAAAAAGTCCCGATTGCTTTCCAAAAAATCCGCGGGCGGGGTGCGAGAAATCAGCAATCTATTTTTCCGGTGCCCGCCTGCCCCCAGCGATTGTCTGAGTTTGTAGCATTTCTGACGCTTTCTTTTTTTCTAAGATGACGTTATCAAACAAGGGCAATAAAGGTTTTCTTGATTTGTGACACAAAAGGCTGGTTCAAGCAATATGATGTTTGCCAAATGAGAAGAAAAGCATAATACTGCAGCACTTCCTCATCATAGTGAATGTGTTAGTGAATGTTGCAAAAAGTTGGAATGTCGTAAAAGTTCTCAAATTGGCCTAGTCACTCTGCAAGCAGTTATTCTTCATACTACTTTCTGTTGCTTATAAGCGCACAAGGTGAATGAAACTTTTGCAAAACACCGCGAGAATTTTCGGTAAAATATAGACGAAACAACACTTGGCTAGAGTCTATGATTTGACAATAAAAACTTTCGTGACATTTAATTAAGCAGCGATATGGTTTGAACTTTCCAAGTTATTGATGGGGCCAAAAGTAATCCTGTTACGGTTTAACTGGATACTTTTTAGATAGTAGTACAAGTTTCAGCAGTTTTTTCGTCAGAAAGGCCAAGCTACTACAAAGGTGTCGTCGATTTTCGCGCGTTATGTGCAGGCTCATATATTGAGTTATAAAACTCGTGCATACAATCTGACGGTTCCGCAAAAGTGCTTATTTTAAGTGTGCTAAGTCTAAAAAGTCAACATGAAATCCAAATGAAACTAACCTAAGCAACTAGTAGAACGGAAGATTATCGTTTTGTATTGGTTGTCCAACACTGGCAATTACAAATACACATTGTGTTTGGCTTTCACAAATCGGTGATATGCTCTGTCCTGTTCATTCAAAATACGCTTGCGAGACTTATAAACAATCCAGTACGCCCGAGCATGATGTTGCCATACTTACAAGGGAATGGTCAGAAGTCGAAGTGGCCAATCCATACAAGCTGCATGCCATTAGATGCAGCATAAAACGCTGACTCTAAATCTGTCTTCCTTATCTGCAGAGCGCTTTTATGGACGAAATTATAAGCCGTTGAAGGCCATTATTTTGCTAAGAAATTGGGCATGTAAAGTGCAAACTTGGCCGTACAAAGCCATTCTAGCTCACTGTCGGACCAAAACTTGCAACTAGGTCACATCATATGACCCGTACCTAGAGTTGAGCTGAAAGAGCAATAATGCGCCTAATTTTGCAATTTTTGTATACTTTTTTTTCGCAGTAAAGCTGCTCATAACTTCGCCTACAAAGGCGTTCTGCAGATATGGAAGACAGATTTGAAATCAGCATTTTATGCTGCATCGAATGGTATGCAGCTTGTTTGGTTTGGCCACTTCGACTTCTCACCATTCCCTTGTTAGCTCCTTTTGTTTTTTCACATGACCTCCACTTGAAGCTCAGTTCTCACTTTTTTATTTCTTTCAAAAGTCGCAAAACGGAAATAAACGACCTTTTGCTTTTGTGCTTATTGTGATGGTGTTGCGCGAGTTGAGACAGTGTCACTATCTTGTATTGCCTTCATTGACAGCAGAGAGCTGTATGTTTGATACGTCACTGCGTAACTGCGTCACCCAAACACCCTTGTATGGCAGATAAAAAAGCTGTATATGCACTTGTTTGTGAACGTCAGACTTATAGAAGAAAATAGACATCAAATGGCAAAATATACCACTTCACAAGGGAAACGACGCGTCATCTCTCTTCAAGGCTTTGCATTGGTTCCAACTGTTTACAGGCTGCCCTCCTGCTTGTGCAATAATGGGAAAACATCGTGAATGAGATGCAGACAGCTACATTCTGAGCCTCGCCATGTGTAAGGCTGGGCTTAGCACAGCTGGCCAAAAGAAAAGCTGGTTACTTTTTTGAGAAGAAACATCAAAGGGGCATTGTTATTGGGGTTCAGAGTGGAGCCGTAAACGGCAGAGTTGTAAGCGAACCTTGTATTTCGAATCGCCCTTTCACTTTCACTTTCACCAGCGCAGACAGTCAAGACTGAATCATCAGTATCCTACGATAAAGCATCACGCATAGCGCTGAGTTCAGACTGATCCAAATGAAATGGATTATCCATAACGAGCAAGCAATGACATGACATCAAATCTGTTCTGCGTCTGCGCAGAAGGGACGTTCAACTATGAAAAAGAAGTTTAAGAAAACGTAGCTGATAAGTCGTAGTTTTTCTCTAAATTAGCAGTTAACTTCTGAACTAGTAGCGACTGAACTGGCGGCAACCCTTTGTCAACTTACTTTCTGGCTGAACATAAGTTTAATTTGTATTCCAAAATCAACACACTAATCACATTTTCGCTCTCCACTGTCTTATTAATTTGCAAAGGTGGCGCAATTAAGCGATAGCGAAGCAGCGCGCAAAGCACTGACCATTACAAATATCGATTTTTCATTGTGAGAGATTTAAAATCTATCAGTCGTTTGTGCAAGGAGGAGGTATGAAAGTGATAGGTCAAAATAGTACTCAGCGAGTTGAGAGTACCAAATTTAATAAAGAACGACATTGTGACATATTGAGGACAAAAATGAAGTAGAGGAAGCTTTTCTCACATTTACTGGTGACGTACGATGTTGTAAGCGTTGAGCTTTCCATTTGGTATAAAAGCAAAACTTGATCATTGCTGAGCGCTCAGGCTGGGTTCATACTGATTCGTATGTGTCGAAACAGTTCCAGCACAGCGCCCGAACTGTGTGCTGTGCTGGAACTGTTTTAGAACACACGGATCAGTATTCAGCCTCAGTCAGTAATCGGAATATTTCATAACATTATTTTAAAGTAAGCCAAAAACGAACTTTTCATTCAAAAATAGTATTTCCGCCCCAAAAAATCTTTAAAAATTCCCCATTCATCCTAGCCTATGCTTGACACATCGAACATTCAAATGTACAATTTCCATGTTTTTTTTTCCATGACTAGGAAGAAAGAAAAATTGAATGAGGTAAAAACCCACGCATGTGATCATATAGCTCATATATGCAGAAGTACGAACAATTTTTTGTAAACTTCGTAGGTGCCTCAGTTCTCGAGAATGCTGACGTTTGGGGTAACAGTAAAAAATTACGGGACATTCTAACATCTGAGTGAAAATTTTGTCGCTGTCAGTAAAACTTAACGTTTGAGAAGTCGTCTCTTACAGAGGCCTAATGTTCCAAACTTAGCTGTGTCAATTTGTTTCACGACAGTCTTCAACTTATGGGCACACATCTCAGTCACTAGTTTCACAATTCACATTTTTTGTCTGTGCACGGAATCATGATGCTATTGAGCCATTGAGCTATATAAGCTAATCAAGCTATATATTAAGCTATATCGCTCGAAGATGCCCCAGTTCAAACATTACCTCAATTCAAACTGGCCGATTATTCATCCATTATTTTGTTTTACAACGTATGAATAGATGCTTTTATTAGGTAAATAATACGTCACTAAAACTAGCCTTCTGTTTCTCGGCAATCAGAAAGCTTTAACTGCACTTGTTTGGTAACGTAAAATTTAGAAAAACTCGACACCAGAGCACAAAACATACGGCTGCGTAAAAGAAGCTATGCGTCACCTCTCTTTGAAGTTTATCACAGGAACTATTATTGAAGGGTCTGCCTTGCACAGTTCAATTTTTCTAATGAAGTACGCTGTGTAAGCACTCGGCGCATTTACACAAGGACAAGCTGGATTTGAATCCAGCCGAATTACAAAGAAATGATTGAACAAAGAACTCGACACCCTGATCTCAAAATTTTTTAAGTGACCTCCTTCTAACCCTTCTCACCACTTTCACTTGCCTTTTTCCTGTGCTGTAGTCACCCACAGAGTAGACCATATGAGGTAAAAATCCCCTCTTTTACCATTTTTTCCACAAAAAAATCAAAAGATTTTGTTACCCCTTGCATCTTGCGCCGTACCTTCCCCAACACCCCCCCCCTCGCTTCTTCTAAGCAGTGGTCAGAACATAACCCACCCATATCAAATATGCTTATCATCGAAATCGTCTTAAAACGCTGACCGCAAACA